AGAACATTTCGGCCCTGCTTAACTCCCTAACTCGCAAGAGAGAATGCAGTCTTCCCGCTGAGCAGACAAAGAATATCTTTATACAGGAAGCAGAATCCAAGCCTTAGTTCTTTTGACCCTAAACAAATGGTAGAAATGTGCATCCAAAAATGGGTTGAAAAGGATGGTGATTGTCACTTTCTCTTTTCTATTAAAAAGCACTTCAAGCTTTTATTAGCAACATAATTATCCATCTGACCATGCACTAAATCTCAGCAAGCTCTTAAAGGCTCGCAGCCCTTCCTTCAGCACTGGTTTTCCTGATGTCACCCAGGTCATATTATGGCTTTGCACTCAGTGACACCACCTGTCTGCCCCAGGCCTGGTCCGACAAATGCCTTCTTGAAAACCTTACATAACTGCCTTTTTCCTGTTCCTCGGGCCTCGTGCACCATATCGAATGGAAGCTCTGGCCCAGAATCCAGGAATGTTGTTCCAAATCGGGCTGGCGGGTCTCACTGCTCATTACCATGAGCTCCCCCTCCCCAGCCCGGGAAGCCAGAACACTGTCTCCCCGGGGCGTCCACATTCTGCCAGCTCAGGAAACAAGACCCTCAGTGTGGCATGAGAAATCTGGTTTCCTCCTTGTGGCCATAAAGACTTCATTTTTAAGGATTTAATAAATAGAGAGGTATTGTCTTATTAGGCAAAGCTGTAGGTAAGAAAATGAAATACCACCTCCTATATTCTATTGAGCCCTATCACAAGGTCAAGAAATTGCAGTATGTTGAATTGATCAGGCTTTATAGCAAATACCATATACAAAGAGACCTAGAAGTGAAACTTTAAAAAAATCTAAAAGGAGCCCTGGCTGGTGTGGCTCAGTTGGTTGAGCATCACCCTGTGTACTGAAAGGTCGACTGGTTCAATTCCTAGTCAGAGCACATGCCCAGATTAACAGGTTTGATCCCTGACTGTGGTACATATAGGAGGCAACGTATCTATGTTTCTCTCTCAATCGATGTTTCTCTCATTCTCCCCCCCTCTCTAACATTAATACATAACATATTTAATAATAATAAAATAAAAATCCAAAAGATGATTAGTTTCATAATATTTAGACATGTCATGATGTACAAGCATGATTATAAGAAGTGTATTTGAGGTGCTTCCTGTTCAAAAGAGTTAAAGGTTCTCCATAATTGGGTAACTTCCTTGGCCCTTTTCTGTTTTCACGGGACTTTCTCTGGATGGTGTAGCATTTCTGATTATTTCTACTGCTTTACGAATGCTGATGACTAACAAATGCTTGTCTCCAGCGCACATGGGTCCACAGTTCTGGACTCATGTGGCTGGGCTTTGAGTCCATGTGGCATCACCACTTCCCACTCCCATCCTGCTCCTCCTCTTGTGTCTCATGACTTATTAAATTTCAACACCATCCACGTGGCAGCTCCGGTCAGGTAGCCAGCACCTGCCTGGCCCTTCCCGGTCCTTCAGCCCTCACATCTAGTTAGTCCTTAGAGCCTATATGTTCTGCTTCCTGCCTGTCACTCAAGCACACCCACCCTCTATTCCCATTGCTACCTGAGCTCAGGAACTCATCGTTTCTCCAGAAACGAGCAGCCTTTTAGCGGGTCTTCTTCTCCCAATCCATTCTTCTCAGCCAGAAGGACCATTTTACAAGTCAGAGTTGATCATATCCTTCCGCTGCTTCAAATGAACTAACAGTCCTTTGTGTCCTACCTACTTCCTGTCCATCTCTGTGAACACATTTTTGTTGTCTCTTCTCTTACCCTTTGAACTGGAGCTGTCAGAGTCTTTGCATGTTTCCCCCCCCCCCCCCCCCCCGTGTTTCTCAATGCTTTTGTATCTGTAACTACTCTCTTTACTCTTCCTCACCTCCTTTTCCTAGCTAATTTCTTTTTATCCTTCAAAACCCATCTTCCTCCTGGAAGCTTTCCCAGGTTATCCTTGGGTTAATCACCCCTTTGGTGTATCCCAGCGGACAGGGTCCTAGTACTCACACAGGATTGTGACTTTCTTCTCTCTTTTCTCACGGGGCTGAGAGTGCCTGGAAGGCTGACACTATCTTTTCACCTCAGTTCCCAGAGCTGTGCCGCAGGTCTGGCTACTGCACGTCCTCAAAAAATGTCAGTCTATCGACTAAGTGAAGTCCTTTGCAATGAGGTCATAAGCTCCTGTGCAACCTCTTGCTGGAAAGCAGCCTAGGTTAAGGCTACAGAGTAGATCCTATTGGAATGGGAAAATGTGTTCAAACAAGGAACAGAGTCAGATTTCTAAGATGCTATTTGGTGAGGCCTGATTATTGGAATGTGTCTCTCGGAAACACAAAGAAGAAATCTTGGCAATTACCAACTTAGGCACAGCAGCTTCGAGGGACAAAGTGAGATATGTGGGAGAAAGCCTGACCACATGCACCTACAGACAGACACTAATAGGGAGCATAGGAGCGCTTAGGGATTTGACAACCTTAGAAGTAGGTTTAGAAGCCTCCATCTTGTTTGTTGCCAATAAACAAAAAGGGGATCTTTTCCCCATTGTTTCTGTTCTGTAAATTAAAAAAAAATATATAAATATATATATTATATATATATATATATAAATATATATATTATATATATATATATTATTGCTTTTTTACAGAGAGGAAGAGAGAGAGATAGAGAGTTAGAAATATTGATTAGCTGCCTCCTGCACACCTCCTACTGGAGATGTGGCTGCAACCAAGGTACATGCCCTTGACTGGAATCGAACCTGGGACCTTTAAGTCCGAAAGCCAACGCTCTATCCACTGAGCCAAACTGGTTAGGGCTGTTCTATAAATTCTTAATGTGAGAATACATAGCAGGCCTTTACAGTCCTTATCAAACACATACCTCACTTATATATATATGTTTAAAATGAGTTCTGAGAAAGAACTTCATCCCTAACTTGAAAGCCTCACCCATAGTGTGGCTACACAAACTTCACTGTCATTATTTCCAAATCTTCCAGTCCTTGGCTGGACACCTGCCTCTGTGGGTCCTGTCTGCTTTGCTTTCTACCTGGACGTCTCCAGTCCATACCGTGCTCACAAATTTTAAGTCTGAGTCTCTCCACTACGCATGTTATCTACTGCTGTTGAGCCATGCAGCTAGTCCTAATGATGAAAAACCTTGCAAATGCCTCCACTACAGAGGCTTGGCTTTTAGCCTCTTGGCCCAATAGAAACTCTCAACTTGGGAACCTACGAGGGCACAAGCAATTTAATGTGTTTGTAATCTAAGGGTGAATAGGACACCAGATTTGTAACCTACCTTTTCTGATGGTTCCATGTTTTAGTCTTCTTCTTCTTTTTTTTTTTCAGGGAGCTGTATATATTTTTTTATTTCAACTTCGGGTACACATTGGCTGTTCTTGGAAGTTACCTTAAAATGGTGTGTTGGCTTGTAAGTCAACAGCTCTGCCTCCCTAGCAGGAATGGTCTAGGGTTTGAAGGAGGCCCTAGGGGCAAGAATTATGAATATCATCAAACTAGTTATGTGATGACTTGCTAGGTGACTCTCAGTCACCCTTCCAACATCTGTCTCTAGGAAAATTGTACTTACCAGAAAATGCAATACCGTTGCTTATATTTTCCATCTTAAAGTAGAACTTAGCAACATTTTAGGGTTTCCAAAATTGAGTGTGAAGAGATATGCATTGATTATAAACGCTAAAAACGTGGTTTCAAAAGCTCCACTAACAAGAAAATCTGGTTTGACTATCCAGTCCGGTATCTTTTTTCCTCAAAATTGCCATTCCTCCTGCCAACCATCTTCCATCCAGGCACACCCCATCTCTTTCCATCACTGACACTCAAGAGCTTGGAAGTTGCTCTGTTTCTCCCTCTCCAGGGCCCTCCCTGACATGCTATAGCTAAGATGTACAGCTTCTGCTTTTGCTACATTTTTCCTTTCTGCCTCTTTCTCTGACTCTGCCTGCCACCCTCTGAGCCCTGTCCCACCTGGCATATTAATCTTGCTTCGATTAGTAAAATAATATCTTGATGTTCTCACTGCTAACTCACTTGACATGACACCACTGCTTATTTTCCTAAAACATGTCTTGAATCATGCCGTTCTCCTGCTCAAAAGTTTTCAAGGGTGCGCCACCACTTACTAAATTAATCTTACAACACCAGATTTGTAACCTACCTTTTCTGATGGTTCCATGTTTTAGTCTTCTTCTTCTTCTTTTTTTTTTTTTTTTTTTTTTTTTTCAGGGAGCTGTATATATTTTTTTATTTCAATTTTGGGTACACATTGGCTGTTCTTCCCGCACAATTTGTGAGATCCCGCCTCTGCACTATTGCTCATGCTGTTTCGCTCCAGCTACCTGGTTCAAGTGCTGGCTCCATTCTTGACTAGCTTTGTGCTTCTGTTTCTTTGTTTATGATATGACGATTAGCTCCTGCTTACGAGGGGATTGCGATAATTCTGTGAAGAAATCCATACAAAGCCCTTAGGAGAGTCCCAGCACAAAGTCAGTATTCAGTAAGTGCTAGTGATCATGATTATGATCATCATCCCTTTCAAGGACCATTTCAAATCCACCTCTTTAGTGACGCCTTTTTGAATTGGCCAACACAATGTTATTTTCCCCTCTTTCTGTCCATCTCTGAATAGCATCTGATATATAATGCCCTGCTTCAGAAGAGTGTGTGCACTTATCTTGGCCTGGACTGGACTGTACACTTACTGAGGTTGAGGAACTTTGATTCATCATCGGATGCTCTGAAGGACTTTGTATAGCACCTGACACATCAAAAGGACTTAATAAATCCCGGCTAAACTGATTTTACTATTAAAAAAAAACACCTCAATTCCACAAGCTGAGACACATAGCAAGGAAAGATAAGTAAATGAAATGAACACCTGGATCAGAAGGATGTTTCTGGTGGAAGACACTGAGACTGATGCTGTTAGAATGCAAGGTTTGCCCTGATAACATCCTTTATCCCCCGTTTTCCATTGCAGGTCTGCTTAGTGGCCTATCTTGGTTTGTTTATGCTTTGTGTCTCATATCAAGTTGACGAACAGACATGTATCCAGTTTATTATGAAAGTAAGTTGTCATTTTTCTTTTCCTTTTATTGTCACATAGAAAGAAACCCACGTACAAAATAAAGGAGTGCTTTTTTAAAGGGTTGCATATCTGATTATCCCAGAAATTGCATTTTAGGCAGGCCAAAAAATGTTTTAGGAGGGCATTGATCCAGACTTCAAATGTAATGCTTAATTTTTTTTTTTTTAAGTCTTAATTTCCATGAACTGGGTTGGCGTATGAAGTCTGCCTTTCAGTGCCCTTAAAAGGAATATTGAAAATGCATCAGTTCAGCAAAAACACTTTGCCAGGGAAAAGATGCCTATGTTAGTGCCCACTTCCATATCTTGGGGTTTATTTCAAATGTTCTAATAACAAAGCAGTCTAAGCGTATTTCCTCTTGTAGGCAGGGTCACTAAAGCAGAAAAAGCACATTGGGTGCATCCAAATGATCTGTGCCAAGAGTCTTGGGGCAAAGGGGACAGGGAGTTGGGATGTGCATGGTTTAGCAAGTATGTGTGTGTCCTATATGTGCATGTAGTTTTCCTCTGCTAGAGACAGTGTGCCCGGTTGGAGCCGGTTCAAATGCACAGCGTTTCTACTGCACATAGAATCCACTCTAAAAGGAAACATGGACACACCCTTTCAGAGTTGAGGGAGATAAACACCCAACTCAGCAACCAGAGTGAGTAGAAATCCAATTCCTACATTTTCTTTCAACAGCTATAGCAGAGAACAAAAAAAGCTTTCTGTATTTTTTTTTTTTTTTGTCCACTCACATCGCGTTTACTTTTCTTCTACAAGAAAATACATAAAAACTGGAGACTCTTGTTCACTATAACAAGAAAGCATAAGGCATAAGAGGAAGTAAACTATATTATGTGGAAATTACAAAGATGCAGAAAATAAGATGATAGTATATTCTAGTATAATTAGAGCTGCTGGCATAAAAAAAGCAGTGTGTTGATATATATGTACATATATAATGTTGAAAAAGGGTAGTTATTTGAGTGAAAAAAAATTCACATTATTTTAACTGCAAAAACAGGCCACTCAAAATGTACAGCATGATCCTGCAGAAAGAAATGAGCTCTTATGTGCTTAAAAAATTGTTGTCTATGAGTGGTGAGATGATAGCTGCATTTTGTAGTTTTTTTCTCTAATTTTGAAATGTCCTCCAGTTAGACATTATTTTTCCAATTAAAAAATTTAATGGATGCTACTTAAAAAAAATATTGGTGGATATGCCCACAGTTAGAAATTTTACTTTTTCTGAGAGTGTCCCTTAAAAGGGCCAGATAAAGCAGGCATCAGTCCATGTTTATTTTTTTGTAAGGCAAGGCTTGGTGATGATAAAAAAAAAAAAAAAAAAAAAAAAAAAAAAAAAAAAAAAAAAAAGAAGCAAAAAGCCAGAGAGCCTCGTAAGAAATGGCCTGTTAAATTACAGGGACTTCAGCCGGGACCGGTTTGGCTCAGTGGATAGAGCGTCGGCCTGCGGACTGAAGGGTCCCAGGTTCGATTCCGGTCGACGTTTCTAACTCTCTGTCCCTCTCAGTTCCTCTCTGTGTAAAATCAATAAAATATATTTTAAAAAAAATTACAGGGACTTCATCCACCAGGTAAAAAAATGCTCTCACCTGGATTCATCATAGAGTGTGAAAGGCCCTCATTCCTCCCCAGACGATCCTAGAGAGAGCAGAGGCAAAAGCATCAGCTTCCTAGAGTCCTCCAAAGCCTTCCCAACATCTGCAGGTAAAATAAGGAGCAAGGAAAAAAAAATGTCACTGCCAATGTCAGCCAGGCTGAGAATTCCCCACCAGGAGCATCTCATTAGCTGTCTTTTTCCCCACCTGTGACAGACACTGACAAATACTGAGGCCCTTTTCTCCTCCCGGTGACCTTCAGTGATGCTTCTTCCTGCCAGCTCTCTAAGATGCCCACTGTATTATCTTCTGTCAGAAAACGAACTTCAGTCAATCGCAAGGCTTTCCAAAGCCACCACAGATTACAGCAGACTTCCCGTGAGCGTCTCACACCGTTTGGTGGGGGATGGAGGAGAGGAATGAAATACATCTTTCCTGTGGTGTTCTTCACTGGCATAACCACATTTTGGTGCCCCGGCATGGAAGCCCAGGCCTTAGCTTTGAGAATGTATTTCCTCCTATGGAAGACTGATACCTTGATGTAGCCTGCATACACACACACACACACACACACACACACGCACACACACACCACTCACACTTTTCTTAAGATACAATAGCCACTTTTCATCTCAAGCTGGCACACCCAGTCTTCTCCAGAGGCCCTTTGGCACACCCTGGGTGCCACCATCATGTTCTTTCTTTCTCCCACGGGCCCCTGGGCTTGGCAGGCCATTCCTTCGTGGATTGGGGCCTCCTGCGGTTCCTAGTGGCGCGGCTTTCTAGGGGCTCACCTTGAGGATTTTGGGAAACGTGTCTGATTCATGTGCTTGCAGGAGCTCGGCGGGGCCACATTCCCACGAGGGCGTTTAAGGCGCATTGCCTCCTGCCCTCATCCCCGAGGCCCCTGGGCTGCAGCTGCCATCTCCTAGGCAGCATGCTGTAGAGGGGCCTTCCTGTGCCTGCCACCCGGGGAAGGTAATTAAATCGAAGCCGAAACTCCCTTCCCCTGTCGTTCCCAAACGTTGAAGCTGCAGCCCGGTACCAATTAGAGGCAGCAGCGCGAGGAGAAGCAGCAGCGCAGGAGGATCGGTTACATAAGCGCCCAGGGCCACCGCGCCTCCATCAGCTGCTGCCCAGCTCCAGACGCACCACACCCGCAGACTAATGCGTCCCCAGCCGGGCTTTTATCAAACGATATTTGCTCGCATTCCCAAGGTCATCGTAAACACTTTCATTGATAGTGTATTCGTGCCGGGTAGGCAAAACAAGCCCCTGGATTTTAAGTGACAGATTCTAACCCAGAAGCTTGTTGCTGTCAGATGAACTCAAGCCACAAAGGAAAAAAAAAAAAAAAAAATGCTACAGCGCCGCAGACGTAGCCCACAGGCTTTGGGGGATCAAGTCTACATTTGTGTTTTAAAATGGATAAGAAACTTGATGCTGTGGCTCTCACTCCTGTTTGTTTACTTGGCCCGATGCTTTCAGGGAGTGGGAGAAGCAGAATCCCAATGTGTGAGGTTTGCACCGCTGACCAGGGTTTGTGCTCTCCCGGGCTGGCTGTGAGCACATTGAAAATGCTCAGTGAAAACGGAGCAATCGCAGTGTTTAAATGTTTACATCTTCCTATAAGCTCAGTTTGCCCCGTTCCTCCCACATGACAGGGAATAAAACAAAGCCAGTAGAGTTGATGGCCTGAGTCCTGAGATCTGACAACTGTTTATATCTCTAATTTGTTTATTTCTTTCACAAATACTTAAATAGTGCTATGCACCAGACACTTTTCTAAGCCCTTTACAGATACCAACTCTTTTGATTCTTATAATAATCTTGGGAAGTTATTATGATCATCATTCCAAGTTTACAAAGGAAGAAACCGAGGTACACCTGGGATTGTTTAATGAGCCCAAAGTCCATAGCCAGTGAGGGGAGAACCGGGATTTGAACTCAGGCAGTCTGGTGTCCTGGTCCATGCTCCTAACCATCACCAAGTATTGCTGTACACATATTAAATGTCTTGGGCAAATCTTTTTTTTTTTTAATATATATTTTATTGATTTTTTACGAAGAGGAAGAGAGAGGGATAGAGAGTTAGAAACACCAATAAGAGAGAGTCATTGATCAGCTGCCTCCTGCACACCTCCTACTGGGGATGTGCCCGCAACAAAGGTACATGCCCTTGACTGGAATCAAACCTGGGACCTTTCAGTCCGCAGGCTGACGCTCTATCCACTGAGCCAAACCGGTTTTGGCTTGGGCAAATCTTTATGTAGAGAAAACTCAATTTTGGACCATCCTACTAAATATATGACCCTCAGGTGGCAGATTATCTCTTTTCTTTGAGCCTTCCCTGGTAAAGTCATAGATGTACCCATGTTCCCAGAGCAAATAATTCCAAGTTCTGTGTTGGCTGCATTGGAAAGGCAATTGCAATGGGTACCAACATGGCCTGCACAATTTAATTTGGCTCTTGGCACCAAGAATTTGAAGTCAATCATCAAGCTGGAATATTCTAGAACAACCCAGAATATTTCAAATATCCTGCCCCAGTGATCCCTCAAAATAAACCTACATTTTTTAGCCTAAGTATGCCAGTGATGGAAGGAAATATGGCCACTGAAAATCTTGGGGCTTGGACCAAGGCAATGGCATTTAATAGCACAAATTAACTATTTCCTTCTTAAATTTTGTGAAGGTGCCATTTTGGATTTATCTGGCTCCCTTTCTCCAAGGGAGAATAAATGTGGGGAATATAAATTACTCTTGTTATATGCCTGAGATATAAGAGGTTTCAATAAACTGTTTCACAGGTGAAGAAACATGGATTATTTTTGATAATCCTTCAAATGATTTGAAAATTAGAAATAGTGTGCAAGGTTAAGATAGCTTTGATGAGAAGATCCAAAGAATCCATGCCTTTCAGAGATGCCTCTTGTGCTTGGGATTCATCGAAGCTGCTTGTTACATCCATATACAAGCAGCCACAGATACATAATATTCTCAGCTCCGTTCATGAAAAGCGCCCAACATCTGTAGGATAAATGAAAATATGAGCATTTAAGGATTGCTTACTGACCAACGTGGAGCCACTTTCATGTCTTGGGAACTGGTTTCTGAGGAGCTCCTCTGTCAGGGAACTTCCTGGGAGAGAAGAAAAAAACAACAGCTTTTATTCATTAGCTTCCTCAAGTCATTCAATGTACTTTGTAACCAGAAAGGTTTTCTTCTGCTTTCTTGCAGCTGCTGTACTTTCTGCTGAGCGCCCTGGGCTTGATGGTCTGTGTGCTGGCTGCAGCCTTTGCTGCCCACCATTATACACTGCTCAACCGGGTTACCTGTGAGGCCACACTCGACGCCTGCCACTGCAAACTGCCCTCCTCTGAGCCCCTCAGCAGGACCTTTGTGTACCAGGATGTGACTGACTGCACCAGCATCACTTTCACTTTCAAAGTGTTCTTACTCACCCAGATGATTCTTAACTTGGTGTCTGGCCTTGTGTGCCTATTGGCCTGCTTTGTGATGTGGAAGCACAGGTACCAGGTCTTTTATGTGGGTGACAGGATGTACTCCCTCTCAGCTTCTGAAGGCCAGCAGCAAAAGGTCTAACACTCTTGCTCAAAGGTGGGAGAGAAATACAGCACACTGACTAGTTGAGGTTAAAAAAGAAAGAAAGAAAGGAAGGAAGGAAGGAAGGAAGGAAGGAAGGAAGGAAGGAAGGAAGGAAGGAAGAAAGGAAGAAAGATATAGTAAAAAAAAAAAAAAAAAAAAACCCTGACAATAACTAGTATTCACGGTTCTAAACAAATATTTTTATATTTTTCAGAAAATGAAAGAGTATTTCTTCAAGTTTTCTATAGTATTTTTTATAAATTCTTATGAAAAAAAAAAGAGCTCCAAATTGATTTTGGGACAGTAAAAGGACACTGAATAGGGAAAGGATAGCATAGATTTACCTTCACAGTCCGGAGTTTATTCCTTATATTCAATTTATCCATTACTTGTATAATCTTCTTTCCTGTTAGTCTAGTTTGGTGGTGCGAATTGCCATTTCAGGCCCACATGCTCAGTTTTGTGGAATCTTTTCCAGGCCCTCCTACCTTCCACCAGGAAGCCCTCGCTGTGCCTGGGGGAAAGACAGGGGCCGGGGAAAGAGTTGATCTGCCAGGTGGACTCTCTATTTTCCGTGGTAACAAGTGAAAGCAGCCTAGTAGGAAAGGAAGAGACTTTTGCAAAAGGCTCAATAATTATGAACACCTGGGCGGGGGCGGCAGCCTTCTCTCCCCAGCTGCCTGGGCCCCGCTCTGTAAGTAGATCGCTTGCTAAGTGCTTCAGGTGATTGTCTGCGCCTCTATAATTGAAAGTTGGTAGTAGTTGTATTCTTAATGATGGAGAAGGCCTACAATAATCACATTATGCTTCTATTCTATCATCTACAACAAATCATTACAACAAATTTCTAGCTAATTGTTCATTATAATTATGCTCAGAAGTCTATTTAACAAGCCCCTAGCTGAACTTAGGCAGCACAGTCGGTGTTAGGAGACGTGACTCTCACAAAGGAGAGGCCGGAAGATGGTTTCTTGCTGTATAAGGGAGGAAACAATTTTATTAATAGCGCAGGTTAAATATACTCATCTAAACAAAAACAAGAGCATTTGTAACAGGAACGGTTATACAAATAGCACATTTGTGATCAGTTGTGAAGTGTCTCTCTTGGCAGCTAAGTACTTTTGAGGGAGATTGGGTAATGCCCATGTGTTTCATTCACGAAACTGTATTTGATATGCAATCCTATTACTGATTTGTATGCACAGTGAAACCTAGAGACTAAAACGTTTTGAAGTCCTTCTTTGATTGAGCATTTGCACATGGACTTGGAGGTAGTTTTTGCTTTTGTTTTTAATTAACTGACATAAAAAAGCACAAGTTCCCTGTTATTGTTATTGTTAAATTTGGAACAATGTCAGTGTTTTAAGGAAGGGTCTCAGAATGCAAATTCACGCAGTATGAATATTACCAAGAACTGTTTCTCTTATTATGCTCTGTTGAAATTTAAGATAATAATTGAGTTTAAGTTGCCTCTCCACATGGCTTATAAACTTTACTAATTATGAAATTCTACCCTAAAAGAAAAACATTTTCTTGTCTGCCTTAGAAGACAGATGAATAATTATACTGATGGTGATAACAGTGTTGATTTCTACCCAATGTAAATACCCAGACAAGCCTGGCAGATTGAGCATTGACCTACGAACCAGGAGGTCATGGTTTGGCTTCCCAGTCAGGATACATGCCTCGTTACTGGCTAGATCCCCAGTGGGGATCATGCAGAGGCAGCCGATCAATGATGCTTCTATTTCTCTTTCCCCCTCCCTTCTTCTCAGAAATCAATAAAAGTATATTTGAAAAAAAGACAAATAAAAAGAAAAACGTTAAGTCAATTAGTTGGAGGATTATAACTATATTTTATGTCCTCCAGATAAAACACCTGATTAACAGATGTTAAAAACTTTTAATGTATTCACTTGCCTTTTGAAAATGGCCTTCTTATACACTAGCTCAGGCCAAGAAGGCACATTGGAGGGATTAAAGGATAAGACTCTGGAGCAGATGTTTGACCACATGCAAGAATTACATGGACCTAACCAAGCATCCTGATGATGACCTGAAAAATACTTTGTGTCCCGATTTTAAAAATCTCTATAATTGAATCCATTTTGATTTTGACAGTGTTCCTTATAAAGAAGAAAAAGACTGAGAATCTGAAATGTTGTAGGTTGCTGTTCTTTAAAGAGTGAGAAACTAGTGCTTTAATGCTAATTCCTAAGAGTTCAGCACCACTGGAAGCACACCCTGAATACCTTTAACAATGTTTTATAGCAAACACTACAAATTTTTATATTCAAAAATTAGAATTCTGCACATCACTAAGGTGCTCTATGCTTTACAAGAGATTCACAGGGTATTTCAAATAGCAGAATACTTTAGCTGATGGGCTTGCTTTTTCTAAATAATGCAACCAGTAAGAACTGATGTGGTGATAAGCTTGATAATAATCAGAATATATATATAACGGGGATTTTGCTATTGTGTAATCAAATCATTCTTACATGACCAAAGAAATGAAAGTTGTAAGTTAAAAAAGGAACAAAAGGGAAGGAAAAGAAAGAAGCAAAGAAAAGATGCCTGTTCTGTGAACCCACTGTGTATTGATACATGTAAGAACTGTGTTACATGAATAACAAACTGCTTTGGGCTTGATTTGAAGTATTTTGAGTTTCTGTTTTGCAAATATTGAAGTTCTGATAACGGCAACAGAAAAGGAACAGACGCACAGCTTTACACTTAGCAAAATGTTACATTTAAAATCTGACAGGAAGCCAAGATGGTGACTGTCTCCTCTAAGCCATAAAACACTCAGATTTGTGCAATCCTCCTCCTCTTCCACCTCCTTCAGGAGAATTAAATGAATCAAGACTTTGGAAAGAGGGGAAACAGCCTGGACTTGGCAGTACTTGAAATAGGAGGAATACAGCAGCCTAAATGTACCGACTTTGTAACCAAGCCCACTCGATCAGTCTGTGCCTTCACATGACCACCATCTGTGCCTCCCCCGCTCCATCCAAATTTGTGTAGGCAGCTCCTTGGAGCGAGGCCTAAAAATACAGTTACACTAGGCCCTAGAAACTGTAGTCAAGTCACAGGCCTAACTTTTCTCCTTCTTTGGATTAAAAGTCTATATTCTTTCTTGAGGGGGTTCCCAAGAAATGTGTTTGTTCTGATAGCCAGGACCCATTATGTGTATGTTCTCTGTTCATGTCCAGGACATCAGAATATTTTATTATTCTTTCTAGAGGCCTGGTGCACAACATTCATGCATTGGAGGGGGGTTCCCCTCAGCCGGGCCTGCACCCTCTTGCAGTCCAGGACCCCGAGGGGTCCTTAGCACAGCCAGAGATATGGGAGAGGCTCCCATCACCTCCACTGCACTCACCGGCTGTGAGCCTGGCTTCTGACTGAGCGGTGCTCTCCCTGTGGGAGTGCGCTGATGACTAGGGGACAACTCCTGATTTCAGCATCTGTCCCCTGGTGGTCAGTGCATGCTATAGTGACCAGTCATTCAGCTATTTGGTCAATTTGCATATTAAGGTTTTATTATATAGGATACTTCCCTTTTTGCATGCAGTATATCTTGAATATGTTTATAGGTCTTTAGTAAAGGGTTGGGTAGAGGGTATACAAAGGAAATTCTGAGGGACAACAGTGAGCAGTATTTAAAGAAAATCACCCCCTAGCTCAGGGATAGACCATTGGCCTACATACTGAAGGGTCCCGGATTTGATTCTGGTCAAGGGCACATGCTAGGGTTGTGGACTTGATTCCCAGTAGGGGCCATGCAGGAGGCAGCTGATCAATGATTCTCATCATTGATATTTCTATCTCTCTCCCACTCCCTTCCTCTCTGAAATCAATTAAACACACACACACACACACACACACACACACACACACACACACAATAAAGAAAGAAAAAAGAAAATCAGAAAAGAACTTAAATGGATCACACCCTATTGGGAAGTATACCTTGACCTTTTGTAGAAATTATCTCTGGGCTATTGCTATGTAGCAAAGATTTCTATAAGTCATGTTGGCTCTCAGTTCTTATTATCCTCAAATAACTCTATCATTTTTTAGATGTACACTGTTTATTCAGGATAATTTTGATAGTCAAGTATATTTACAGAGGAAACATTATTTGGATAAAGACTCAGTGGAACAGCCTATAAAATGAATATCTTGATTTGTTTCTCCTGATTTTCTAGTAACTTATTATCTCAATGATTATCCCCTTCAAAAATATTGGTCTGTGCATTGGTGCTGTGATTTCATTCTTCTGGCATTGACAAAATAGTGAATAGAAAACAGTTGTCACCTCTGTGTCTGCTGTGGTTGTTTTTAAATGGGATGTGTATCATGCGGATTTTCTTTGTTAATAAAATTTTCATAATCTCTGAAGACACCGTGTTTGGATGTGCTTTAAAGTGTGGAAACATTGCATGTAAACTGGTATATGTACAATCTCTCAGATTCATGCTTACTCTAAAAATCTGGCTTTGGGATAGACCAGAACTAATATTCATTTTGACCCATTGTTCCAGGTACTATCTTGACTTTGGTACACACTACACCCATCAATTCAGTTAAGGTGGTAAATGCTTCCCAGGCAAAGGGAGCCTGAGCTGGAAAATGTCTTGCCAAAGGTACTTAGAATGCTGGTCTTCATTTATATCCATTAATGTCAAGTAAAGCTAAAGAAAGGGATCCATGCAGAGTGTCACATGTTCGATCACAGTATACATTTAGTTACATAGAGAATCAGCTGGCCTAGCCCATTTCAAATCCGAATACAAGGAGTCCTTTTTACCAACTCTGAGGCTATTTAGATAGATGATTGTGCTATAAAATGCACGGGTTCTTTTTGTTTAATTTAGTTAGAAAAGCTTGTAGAAGGCACAAGGAAAGAGAATGATTTAGGACACACACTCTGAGCTGGATTTCCTATCCTTATTTTTCAAGGCTGTAGGTCTTAGGGTTGGACATTTGTCACTTTCTGGCTTTGTGATTTTTGGATAAACCATTTAGTCTTTCACTTCCTCTTTTGTAAAGTGGAGAAAAACATCACTGCCTCACAGCACCATGGGGAAGTTCAATAAAATGGCACTTAGCAAAGTGCCTGTATCATAGAGGGAGCTTAATACGCATTTGGTTTCTTCCTTCCTTAGCTGAGTTTTATGTACCTTGTGACACTTCTCATTGATTCAGGTTTTTGCCCCCAAATCCAACTAGAGAAGTAGCTTTGTTTTGCTCTTCCCTCTGTGATTTCCTTTTTATTACCCAGAAACATTAGCAAATGGGCCTCAAACAGAAATTTTGCTTTTACTGTCAGATAGCACCAGGTCTTTTTGATGCCAGTTCATGGAATGGTATGCTGGCTGTGTTTGTTGCTTTATACACCTAGATGGTTCTTGAATTCAGCTGTCTTCTCCCAGTTCTTCTCCCAGACAGAAGTAGAGGCTGAGACATTTCTCTTTATTTTCATAGTAGAGGCCCAGTGCATGAAAATTCATCCACTGGAGAGGCGTTCTTCAGCCCAGCCTGCCCCCTCTCACAGTCTGGGAGCCCTCAGGGACAGGAGGCCATCTGGTGATCAGGGAAAGGCAATGCCCATCACACCTCTGCTGCTGCCACTGTGGCAGCACAAGCCTTGTCTGGCAATGGTTACCTGAACCTCCGGCAGCCCTGGGCAGCTGGGCAGTTGCCATCTAAGATTTGCCTGTACCTTGGGCCAGCCCTGGGTGGCTGGGGGCTGAGCGGTCTGGGGGACTCCAGAGCCAGGCACATGGCAAGGCTGGGCCCACCTGCCATCCTGGTGGGGATAAGGAGACTGGGTGCCTCCATTTTGTGGCTGTGGGAGCCGCCATCTTTGAGGGCAGGCAGTCAATTAGCATATTCCCTCCTTATTGGCTGTGGATGCCTCCATCTTTGTGATGGCATGAGGGTCAATTAGCATATTTCCTCTTTATTATATAGCATGAATTCTCATTTAATGTAACAGAAGCATGTGTAACCCAACTTTAAAAAACAAAACTTTTGAAATAAGCCAATCAGAGAAAGATAAATATCACATGATCTCACTCATAGGTGGAATCTAATGAACAAAATAAACTGATGAACAAATAGGTCAGAGACATAGAAGCATGGAACAGACTATGGAATCTCAGAGTGAAGGCAGGGGAGGGTGGGTGGGAAGAGATCGACAAAAGAACTTGTATATGCATATATGCATAACCCATGGACACAGACAATAGGGTAGTGACAGCATAGGATGGGTGTTGGGGGTGGGCTTGAGGAGGTCAATGGGGGGAAAAAAGACATATGTAATACTTTCAACAAGAAAGATTCTAAGAAAGAAAGAAAGAAAGAAAGAAAGAAAAGAAAAAAGAAGTAAAAAGAAAAAAAATGAAAATGTTGATTTCCTGTAAAAAAAATACTTTATTGAGCTTTGATACATTACCAGTTCACTGTATAAATATAAGCTCTTATTTATTTAAAAACCAACCATCAAATACCTTTGGTATGCTTGACCCTGTGGGTCACTGATTCTCATTCAAGAATCAT